AACAGCCAAGAACAACAATAACAAGCAGTGAAACATGTCCTTGGCCTCGGCACACGCTTCCTATTTGGGTTAAACTTGTCAGCGATTGCGGTGAGTTGGGGGCATGGGTTAAGGATTGGGTGCTGAGACTTTAAATTAACAGATGGATATCAGGGCCAAAGTTCCAAGAACGCTACAATCCTCTCTACAGTTTGAACAGAATGAAAATAGATCTAAATCATTAGTTAACAAATCTTTCAAATATTTAGTGAAATATCAAAATCCATATCAGCTTTAGCTTCAATTAAAGTTGATTTTTTTTAACCTAATAGAATTTGATTAGAAAACAAGAAAGGAAGCTACCTTCGGCCAGCCGAAGCTTATATACCCTTGCAGATAAAGTAATACTCACTCGGTGCAGTTCCAGGGATTCCAGATTCAGCGTTTCTATTTTTGAATTTTGTTTTTAAGTAGTCAAGAATTAAAACGCCTACTTCCTACAAGTAACAATGAATTTTCTTATGGGCCGTTCTTTTACAAACCGAACAGATTTGGCCAAAAAAAAAATTTCACATTTTTGATTTGCCTGAAACTTTTTTTACACGTACTATTCAGAAAATAAGTAAACACGTGTATCAGGATTTGACCGATAAAAAATTATTTTCCTAGTTAGAATTTTTTTAAGTGTGCCAAAAATTGTCAAATTTGAAAAAGTACCCTCTCATTGAAAATCTGTATCTCCGGTTATATGAATCCAATTGACTTCATGTCTTTTGCATTAATTCCTCTAAAACCTCTCCTTTCAAAATAAAATTTCTTTAAAAAAAATTGTATTTAATTTCTTAAAAATAAAAACAAAATAAGATTTAAAAAAATTTTTTAACTATTGCCCCCAAAAAAAAAAAATTTTTTTTTTTATTTTAACACTTGCGTCATATTGTTAGTTACAATCGGTTTTTGTAAAAAGTTGGAGCCACTTTTAGTTTTTAAAATATCGAATTTGTTTTAGCAAGGCCTCGGCTTTTTTCTATGAAAAAACGTCGCAGCAAGTAGATCTACTCTCTCACTCTTATCGGATCCTAATGGAATTTATGTTTTCTCATTGTTTACTAGTCCTTTAACAATTGTTAATGATTAAAAGTTAAGTTTTAAGTTTTTTGACAATTTCTGAATGACAAAAAGTAAAAAGTCATTTTTTAATCAATTAAAAACTTACAACTATTTATTTAACCGTCTATTTAATAAACAATAATTTTAAATTTATTTTATTTATTATTTTTTTATATTATGTAATTTATTAAACATTTTTAAATATTTTTTTAAAAAAATTTATTTAATAAAAATAAAAAATTATAAAATTTAATTAATTTTTTTTTAAATTTAAAAATAAATATTTAAAAATGTTTATTAAATTAAATAATATAAAAAAATAATAAATAAAATAAATTTAAAATTATTGTTTATTAAATAGACGGTTAAATAAAGAGAGAGGTTTTAGAGGAATTAATGCAAAAGACATGAAGTCAATTGGATTCATATAACCGGAGATACAGATTTTCAATGAGAGGGTACTTTTTCAAATTTGACAATTTTTGGCACACTTAAAAAAATTCTAACTAGGAAAATAATTTTTTTTCGGTCAAATCCTGATACACGTGTTTACTTATTTTCCGAATAGTACGTGTAAAAAAAGTTTCAGGCAAATCAAAAATGTGAGGCAATAAAAGGTGTTCGGTTTGTAAAAGAACCGCCCTTATATATGTTTGAATATTCCTATGGGAGCCTTAAGATATAGTGGTCCGATCCGGCTCGCTCCGACATATGTACTACCTGCAATAGAAAGAAGACTTTCGGGAAAGTTTCATCGCGATAGCTTTAAAACTGAGAGACTAGTTCGCATAGAAACGGACAGACGGACAGACGGACAGACGGACATGGCTAGATAGACTCGGCTATTGGTGCTGATCAAGAATATATATACTTTATTTGGTCGGAAACGTCTCCTTCACTGCGTTGCAAACATCTGACTGAAATTATAATACCCTCTACAAGGGTATAAAAAACACACTAAAATAAAACACACAACATGTTACTAACAACATAAATACAAAGAGCTGAATATTACAAAAAATCTATTTTAATTGAAGCTGGAACCTTAAAGATTACCCGGGTCAAAAAATTATTTAATTCGATTATATAGTGTATTGTTATATTTTTAATACCACCAAAGAAAAAATAATAAAATATTTTACTAATCAAAAGTGGTTTCCCAGTAAGAAAGTAACAAAACAAAAGCTAGAAATCTAGGCTTACATGTAAGACTTTGGATAAAAGGAAAACATTACATAATTCAAAAAAATATTTAAGCATTTTTACATATAAATGATATTTACTCGATTTTTCCAGCATGCTTGTGTTTTGTATTTGCCCTGTCTGATACTCAGAAAAGCGGCTTAAAAATGTAGAGAGGGGCAAATATCTGGCAAAAGGGTAACGAGTGGCGCAGTGCTTATCTAACCATTCCAATATTGTGCGGCCGTTAGCCTCTGTCCCGAAAAGAAATCCTTTAATTGAGTGCACACTCAGGCCGAGCAGCAGACGGAAAAGGAAAAAAAGACACTCACCCACACAGCCACACATACTCACACCAGCCCAGTTCGGAAGTCCTTGCCGCCTGACTGCTGCCTTTTTATGCGCTTTTAGCGCCATTATCCTTTTACGATTATCGCCGCTAAAGCGAATTGACTGTTTGACGTTCAATTGAAATTTTGCATTAAAGCTCAATGGCTTAACCCCTTCAAATTATGCAATAAGTCCTCAGGACCCCCAAGCCCAAGCCCAGCCTCCTCCTTCGTACTTGGGTCCTGTGAAACTCCGCCATGAGCAACGCAATCCCAAGCTGAGCCCAAGCAGCTTTTAGCTCGAAACTCGCAAATGGCAAATGGTTCAGGGACACGAGGGGGCAAAAGGGGCGCCAAAGGGGCGGGGCTGGGTGGTAGGATGGCAGGATGCGGAGGATACTCGACTGCTGCTGCTGCTCTGAGATCCAGAGCGATGCCAACGGAACGGAACGGAGCGAGCATCGAATGGCAGCCAATTAGCGCGCATTGCTCATACGCCACGTTTGTCATGGCAGCCAGACACCCACACACACACATACCTACACACACTCACAGTCGCTCTCTCACTTACACAAAACGCTCGTGAGCACACGCACACATTTGCCAGAGCTTGCCACACACTTCAAAAAGTGATTTGCCATTTAATTTACATAGATTTCTATCATTATTAAAAAAATATATTTTCTTTTCCAAAAAAATGTTTAGAAAATTTTGAAGAGGTTGAAGTAATGTATCATTTTACAAATGTTTTATTAATTATTAAAAGAGTAGACTAAAATTAAAATTCATCTAAAATGTTTTATTATCAAACTACTCAAATCACAATTTTTAAAAACCATTTTAAAAACCATAGAGATTTTGATTGAGATTTTATCCTGAACCATTATGTATGTTTTATTGATTACAAACAAATTTATTAAAATATTTTATATCTTTATAAACCTTTTTTTTCTTTTTTGATTTTTTAACTAACTATTAAATTAACTAAAGTATTTAAACACAATTTTTACTTTGTTGACCCCTTCTTTTTTCCAGTGCTCTCGCTTTTCCTCTCAGTGAAGGTCCCTCGCATAGCGGAAACGGAAGTTGTAAGGGGATTTTCAATTTGCAATTGAACTGATTCTGATTTTTTGGCTTGCTTCTTTTGCTCGGCGCTCATTTTATGGCTGACTTGGTTTTTGCCGTAGTGGGTGGGGCGGGGGATGGGGAGAGGGGGGAGCGGAAATGTAATCATCGCAATCCACCGGGTGGGCGGCACAGGAGGGGAGGGACGATGCAGCGGGCGAGGTGGCGACTTGTACATATATACTTACATTTAATTTCCACTAATTGAATCGAAATCGATCTCTCGCTCCCTTGCTGCGGAAAAGAGCCCTTCAGAGGGCCTTGACGTTTGCTTTTTGGATTGCGGCTGGCAGAGGTGTGAGCTGGGAAATTCGGTCGCTTTTCGGGGCGTGGCCGCTTTTGGCGCATTAACAAACTTTTCCTATAAATCAACCGAAATTTTTTATAATCTCTTTTTGGGTTCAGCAGCCCCCTTCTGATGTTGGGCAAAGGATTAACTGCGGAGTGAATGTGAATCCGCAGGGAAGGTGGGGCTGAAAATTTCCGAGGGGGCGGCAGACGCTGCACCATTATGGCTTCTAATGAGCAAAACGCGTCGGTGGGTAAATGACTTTTCACCGACTAGAAAATTATCGCGATAAGTTGAGGGAAATAATTACTCGATAATCGCAGTTGGCGGTTATGGCTTCAAAGGGTTCTCTCCTTCGCGCAAATATGCAGGGAAATGTAAGTATGATTTGGATTAACTGATACGATTTTAGCGAGAATTTGAATAGTCACAAAATCGGATCGTTTTCCAATCAAATATTTTGGATTGAATAGAAAAACTATGGCTTGCGAAAAATTATTATTATTTGTAATGATTTTGTTTTAAATTTTTACGAAGTTCCTCAAAGTAAATAATACAATTAACTTGGCAGAATAAAAGTTTATACCTTAAATTCTTAAATCCAATAGTTTCATATTCAATTTAAATATTTTTCGCTATCTTCTTCATCTATTGCGGTTTTTACTATATTTTAACATGGTAATATTTAAATTAGCAATTACAGTTAATTTAAAGAATTAGAACTTAATGAATGAAAATATTTAAAGTAAATATTCCAAAGACTTGCAAATTAATTAAATATCATTCAATTCCAGTATGCAAACATTTTGTTATACCATTACATTTTTTTTCAATGTTACTTTATATACAATAAAAACAATATAGGTGTCTTTACTTAATTTTGAAAACTGTTTGATTTAATTAATAAAATACCTCGTAAAACACTAAAAATTTTTAAGAGACCAGGATTAAATAAAAGTAGCTTTGGTATCGCGGCTATCTGGATATCAATATACCTCCACGTTATCCTCTATGTCCCGGAAAGTTAGCAGGATATTTTCATGAAGCTTGTCCATTGTCTCCAGGACAGCCGCTTCTCCCAGCTTGGGATCGATGAACTTCATCGTGGACAGCTCGTACAGAATGTTGGCGGCCCGCGTCCGAATCAAACCCCAGGTGACCCGCGCCTCCTGGTCGGCCGTGTTCTTTACGGCCAGGATCGCCGCCTCGTGGAAGGCCATCATGTTCTTCAGCATGCCGATGGTCTTGAAAAAGGGACAGAAGGCGTCGTAGGGCGAGTAGGAGTTCTGCTGCAGGAAGTCGTCCTTCAGCATCTTGGCTATCTCGAGCGTTATCTTGTCCTCCTCGTTCAGCGACGACTTGCCCACCAGCTGGACGATTTCGGCCAGGTCGTCCTCCTCCTGCAGCACCTTCTTGGCCTTGGCCCGCAGCTGGGTGAACTCCGGATTGGACTCCTCGTAGTAGTTGTCCAGAGTGCGCATGTACTTGGAGTACGACTGCAGCCAGTTCACCGAGGGAAAGTGCTTCCGCTGGGCCAGCTTCTTGTCCAGGCCCCAGAACACCTGGACGATGCTCAGCGTGGCCGAGGTCACGGGATCGGAGAAGTCACCACCAGGAGGCGACACAGCGCCCACAATCGACACGGATCCCTCGCGCTCGGGGCTTCCCAGGCACTTGACCAGTCCGGCTCTCTCGTAGAACGAAGCCAGTCGGGCGCCCAGGTAGGCTGGGTAGCCGGCATCGGCAGGCATCTCGGCCAGGCGACCGGAGATCTCACGCAGCGCCTCCGCCCAACGGGACGTGGAGTCCGCCATCATGGACACGTGGTAGCCCATGTCCCGGAAGTATTCAGATAAGGTGATTCCGGTGTAGATGGAGGCCTCTCGGGCGGCCACCGGCATATTGGAGGTGTTCGCCACCAGGGCAGTGCGCTTCATTATCGACTCCATTGTCCCATTGACGTCCACCTCCAGTTGTGGAAAGTCCCTGAGAACCTCGGACATCTCGTTGCCTCGCTCGCCGCAGCCCACGTAGATAATTACATCGGAGTTTGAGTACTTCGACAGGGCCTATAAAAATAAGTTACAAAATAATTTCTATGCAAATTTAATATTTCCATATAAATTATTACCAAGCTAAGCAATAAATAAATAAAATCAACTAATATGCAGGGGGGTCAAACCATTTATGTAAATTGTTTTTTAATAGCAATCCATTACCCAATTATCATTGAATCTCAACAATATATTCTGCATATTTTATAAACCATTTCATTATTAAATGTAGGTCAGTAGACAAATCCGTAAAGTGTAAAAAAATATATCTATCTGGCAATAAATATTGCAATTAATTTCTATCAGAATTTTCTAGATTATATTATTGAATCCAAAACAATTTATCAAATATATCTAATATTCTGTCGTTTAGAGACTGAGGCGAGCAATAAATTAATTAGATTTCTCCCAATACATCGACAGTATATGTATATGGATACCATTTCGTAATCTTTGGATGAAAATCAGTTATAAAATAATTTTAATAAATACACGGGGTGCTAATAATGTTATACTGACAATTAAATACTTTACTTATAAATAGCCTATTTTAATTATTTTCTTGATAGGCGATTTTATTCTTTATCAAAAACTGAGTGTTTATGACTCAACCAACTAAGATTATAATGACATATATAGACCCTCCTGAGAAGAACATATTTAGGTTCATTTAAAAAGGAATTTAATTTTTCGTTTATGCTTAAAAAATATAAAAATAAAAATAGGTATATCAATGAATAAATCATACTTATCATTAGTGAAAAATGGAATAGGCACTTAAGAGTTATTATATGCTATAAAAAATTAGTAAAATCAAATAACATCTCACCTGCGAAATGACCGTCTTCCCACAGCCAAAGGCACCCGGAATGGCGGTGGTTCCGCCCTGGACGCACGGGAAGAAGGCGTCCAGGACGCGCTGGCCGGTCAGAAGGGGAGTGTTGCTGGGCAGCTTGTCCTCCACCGGACGACACTTGCGCACCGGCCACACCTGGAGCATTGTGTGCCGCGTGACCTCGTCGTTGAACTCCGTTTCCGCGATCACATCGTCCACGCAGTAGTTACCCGCGGGTGCCAGCCACTTGACCCGCCCATTGCACCGCGGCGGGAGCATCAGTCGGTGGTCGTGCATCATGCTGTTCTCAAATACCGATCCGTAAATATCACCGCCGGTGACCAAATCGTCGAGCTTGATTTTGGCGGGGGTATACGAGTACGATATGTTACGCGGCAGAGCCGGCACATCGATGCCCTTGGGCACGTAGATGGAGTTGGTCAGTTCGCTGATCGTCCGCAGGGGTCGCTGGATGCCGTCGAAGATGCTGCCCATGATTCCCGGCCCGAGTTCCACGGACAGCGGCTTGCCCGTCTGGTAGACAGGATCGCCGACACTCACGCCCGAGGTGTCCTCGTACACCTGAATCGTGGCCATGTCGCCCTCCAGCCGGATGATCTCGCCCACCAGCTGGTAGTGACCCACGCGGACCAGCTCGTACATGGCGGCTCCGGCCATTTCCTCGGCATTCACCACCGGACCGGAAACCCCGAAAATCCGTCCCACATGCGGCTCCTCCTCCTCCTCTTCGTCAAAGGAATAGGTGTGCGTTTCCATCACCTTTTCAGTGGCAATATGTGAGTCCTCATTCTTGGAAGGCTCCAGAGTTATGTGCATGCTTTGTTGGTTAGAAAGCCTGGACAGCCGAGACGAACGAGAACGTTCCTCTGGGGCTTCGTCGACTTCGACTTCCTCGGACTCGCGTTTCGCATGGGAGGGACGGATTATGGAGGCAAGCTTGTGTTCAGGACGCGGACAGGTGCACTTCTTGTGGGTGGCCAACGGTTGAGCCCTTGGATGAACCACTGGGGACAAGGAGCCCGAGCTTCGCGGAGTGGACTCCACGGTACTCACATTGCTGTTGGTGTTCGAGGTGAGCGGCGCTATCCAGGTCTTCTTATCCATTTTATAATTCAATAAACAAATTTATGCTTCGAACTTGAGGTAACTTTAACTAATTTTGTATGTATATATTTGACAAAAAAGTATGGAAGGATATGAAAAGACTAAGGTGATGATAGGAAAAGAAAAATTAAAAATGTAAGGGTAACTTTAAAGGAATAGTACATTTTCATAAAATAATGTACACGCAAAAAACCATGGAAAAATTAAAAATATTATCTAAATATTGAACTATAAAATCTATATTTTAAGTTAATTAAAACAGAAATGTATAAGTAACAAATCAAAAATATTGAATTTAAATATATATTCTTCGCTTTGTTTTTGATTTAATCATCATATAAAAAATGGTCTACCTTGATTTAAATATTGTCAAATTTAATCAAGCAGTTTAATGTGTATTTAATAAAATGTACGTTACTATATTTAATTCAAAAAGGTTACACGAAATTAATTTAGATGAATTTATTAGATTTTACATATCAACCCTAAAGCTCCTTTTCAGTAAACATCTTAGGTCCATCTTCAAAATCAGTGAAATCCACTTTCAATTACATTAAATGTATTTGTTGTTGCACTTTATTCGTACATTTAATATTTCATACTTTAAATATTTACATAAATTTAACAAACAAACAGGGAGAAAACATGACTTTTTCACAAATAAACAAGAATTTCCATTCATTAAACAATAATACTATTTATGCATGCATTTGTATTTGTGTCTTTTTTATGTATGTGTGTTGTGTGTGTGCGCCAGTGTCCGTGTACTTTTATTCAAGTGTGTGTGCGTCTTTTGCTGTTGTAGTTGTTGTTGTTGTTGTAAATGGAAGTACATAGAAGGACGTTGTAGTTGTTGCTGTTGCCTTGAGCGGCCCCTCATGGGGGGGCGGAGGGGGCGTGGTTAGTGGAAGTATTAACCGCAGGCCGGAATGATTACATATCTCGCAGGCACCAAGAAGTTGTTGGAATTTGTTGGACTTTTGTTTCTCTTCGAATGCAGCAGCACGGAATTGTTGGTGTTTGATTAGGCTTTTTCGGATGGTTTTTGACTGCTTTCTTTTTTAAAAGTTAACTATATAACAAATATAAGATTAGAGTGTAAAAGTAGGGCCAACGCTCTAGTCCTCCAGATTCCTGAAGGCCTGCTGCAGGTCCTCGTGCAGCTGCTCGAAGTCAGCCTTGATCTTGGCCTCACCATCCTTAACGGGGTCCTAGAAAAATGGTTGAAAAAACGTGTTAAATAAACCAACATATATCGATCCAATCTATATGTCAACCCACCTTGAACTTCATGGACGACAGCTGGTACATAATGTTGCCCATAGCCTCACGGATCACATTCCAGGTGATCTTGTTCTCGGACTGGGCCGTCGACTCCACGGAGTGGCGGGCCAGGTCGTAGAAGTCGATGATGTTCTTCAGCATGCCGACGGTCTTGTAGAAGGGGCAGAAGCGATCGTACGAGGAGTACGAGTTCTGCTGCAGGAAATCGTCCTTCAGCAGCTTGGCCACCTCCAGAGTGATCTTGTCGGTCTCGGCCAGCGAAGCCTTGCCGACCAGTTGCACGATCTCAGACAGATCCTCCTCCTCCTGCAGGATCTCCTTGACCTTGGTACGCAGCGGCACGAACTCGGGGAAGTTCTTGTCATAGAAATCGTCCAGGGCACGCATGTACTTGGAGTACGAAATAAGCCAGTTGATCGAGGGGAAGTGCTTGCGCTGGGCCAGCTTCTTGTCGAGACCCCAGAACACCTGCACGATACCCAGGGTGGCGGAGGTCACGGGATCGGAGAAGTCACCACCAGGAGGCGACACAGCGCCCACAATGGACACGGAACCCTCGCGCTCGGGGTTACCCAGGCACTTGACGCGACCGGCACGCTCGTAGAAGGAGGCCAGACGGGCGCCCAGGTAGGCTGGGTAGCCGGAATCGGCGGGCATCTCAGCCAGACGACCCGAAATCTCACGAAGAGCCTCAGCCCATCGAGACGTAGAGTCAGCCATCATGGACACGTTGTAACCCATGTCACGGAAGTATTCAGACAGAGTGATACCGGTGTAGATGGAGGCCTCACGGGCAGCCACAGGCATGTTGGAGGTGTTGGCCACCAGGGCGGTACGCTTCATGATGGACTCGGTCACACCGTCGATCTCCACGGACAGCTCGGGGAAATCACGCAGTACCTCAGACATCTCGTTACCACGCTCGCCGCAACCGACGTAGATGATGACATCGGAGTTGGAGTACTTGGACAGGGCCTGTGGAGAGATGAGGAGATGATGGAGGATTAATAAGTTAAGAAATCAATTACGTAATAGATTAGAACTATTAAAAGAAACTTTATAGTATCTATTTAAGGACTTGAAAGAAGTTAAACCTTTGAAAAAAAAATCGATATGAAACGTAGATCGATTTTACATTATTTAAGATCAATTTTAATTTGATATGTGGCCAGCTAAATTTGAACTGGTCGAAAAAAAGTATTTCCTGTAAAAACGATATGAGTTTTTCATGATCTGAAATTTACATGGCAATATCGATTTTACGGTAATATGCTTTTTTTGTGTGTAGTATATAGCTTAGTAATTGACGATATAGTGACTTACCTGCGAGATCACAGTCTTGCCGCAACCGAAGGCTCCGGGAATGGCGGTGGTACCGCCCTGGACACAGGGGAAGAGCGAGTCGAGGACACGCTGGCCGGTGAGCAGGGGATGGTTGGCGGGCAGCTTCTCGGTCACGGGACGCGGCTGACGCACTGGCCACACCTGCAACATGGTGTGCTTGGTGATCTCGCCGTCGAACTCCGTCTCCAGGACGACATCGTCGACCTTGTAGTTGCCCGAGGGGGCGATGTAGCGCACGGTACCCTTGGCGCGGGGATTGACGATCATCTTGTGCTTGACCAGGGTGTTCTCGTGCACCAGACCGTACAGATCTCCTCCGGTGATGTGGGAGCCGACCTTGACGTTCAGCGGGTTGAACTCCCAGCTGGCCACGCGCGACAAACTGGGCACGTTCACACCCTTGGGGATGTAGATGGACTCGGTCAGCTCGTTAATGTCCTTCAGGGGACGCTGGATACCGTCAAAGATGCTGCCCATGATGCCGGGTCCCAGCTCCACGGAGAGGGGCTTGCCGGTACGCAGCACGGGATCGCCCACGGTGACGCCGGAGGTCTCCTCGTACACCTGGATGGTGGCCATGTCGCCCTCCAGACGGATGATCTCGCCCACCAGCTCGTAGTAGCCGACGCGGACCAACTCGTACATAGCTGATCCGGACATGGCCTCGGCGGTGACGACTGGAATGAAGCGGTTAAGCGGATTAGATGTGCTGCACTTTTAGATAGAGCTCATATTTTAATTTTTTTTTATTTTTAAGATGATACTTTTTTGGTATGACTTTAATCGTGAAATTCTATAGGCACAAAGCGATCAATTAAGACCAGTACCTTAAATTAACATTATTTTATAACATTAAAAAATAAAAAATATATTCAGTAGACATAAGTAACGAATGGCGTAAAACACTGCTCTTTTTAATAATAGAAAATTTATTTAAAAAAAAATTTAATTATTTTTAAGTTTTAATTTAAAAATTTTTAGAATAAGTTATGGCATTCTTATTTCTTTGAAAAACTGAACAAAATGACTTTAATGACACTTATTGTGGCAAGGTTAATAACTATTGTTGATAGTTTAGGGTTAGATAACTTGCCATTATTAAAACGAAAGTAATAAAAACAAAATAATTTAAAAAGGTAAATTTGTATAAAGTTAAACATTTAAATGATCTACTATTTATAGTATATAGAACCTAGAATCTAGGTATTAAGTACTTACCAGGACCCGAGACAGCGAAGACACGTCCATATTTGGACTCACGCTCCTCATCATCGAAACGCTTAAGGTTGGACATTTTGCTTTATTCTGTTTCTACAACTGCAAGAGATCGAAAATCAAGGGGGAAATTATAAAATGCTGGCTGGAGAAGGGCAAAGATAAAGTGAAAAATTTCTTATCACTAATTGCTGGTTAGCCCTCTGTCAGCTGACAAGAGGGCAGGTGTATTCTCTCCGAATTACAGGTTAAGTCTGGGCCAAAATTTAGGGCTGCTTGTATTCCCGATTTAAGGTTATAAAATGTTTCCGAACAACTACCAATTTCGATTGATTTAATTATTTTTTTAACTCTTCGATTATGCTGCGAAAAACTTTAAAAGGGAGCTTTCGTTTCACGTGACAGAGCTTTGGAAGTTCGAAAAGAGTAATTTGCTTAACTAATCGCTAAATAAATAAAATTATAGTTCTGGCATCACACACTGACTGATAAATTGAGCTGAAGAATGTAAGTGAAACGCTTGTTTTCAAAATATGCGGGTTTTAATATTTATCAGTGAAAAAAAAAACAAGAGAGGAGAGTCGGAGCGCAACTCTCCGCTCTCGCTCTCTCCATTCGAGTTCGAATATTTGACAATTGCTTTTGACGTTGATCACAAGACTACTGTCATTGCCGTCAGCTGACAAATGAAAAAAAGTGGGTAAGGGAAAAGGCGATAATCTTGGGGCCGCCTTTTCAACTCGCGGTCTCCATATTGGTTTTCCATAACCAGAATGCCGAAAACCCCAACTTCTGTTTCGAGTTTCGAAACGAGAGAGGGAGAGAGGCGGCGATCACAAGACCCACGGTGCGACAGAGACGGGGCGAACACGGGGAAGGGGGTCAGCTGACAAGGCAAAATATTTTCCACGCGCAAATTTTCACGTTTTCAGACCGCACTTTTCTGAGCTTCTTCAAAAACTAATTAATATTCGGATTTTTTACTTCTCTTCGTGTGAGTGTATGTGCTGCACTTATTATCTAACACACTTGCAGTCTATGTGCGTGTTTTCGCTCTCCGCTTTGATCGCTGCTTCGTCACTTTTTCGGCTCGAATTCAAGGCGGGTTTCAATGCCGCTTTCTTCGATTACCAATTTCGATCGCCCAGAACCGTTTTGAAACATCATTTATCTGTACTTATTTGCTTTGTGGGCGTGTGTGGGTGGGGGGAGGGCTTACTTTGATGTGTCTTCGCGTTCACCTTGCGAACGTGTGATTGCTGCTTTTCTCCAACAGAACGAACGAAAACCGACTGAGCCGCAGAAATAAAACGTCGACGCTCGCACTTCGAAAAGCTCCCGACCCCGATTCGATTTCGATTTTTCGCCCCCTCCGATCGCGAGCTTTCGCCGCGAGCTTCCAAGCGAAGTTGTGAGCTGATATCGGAGCTTTCGCCAATCGAAGAGCGGAAGCGGGACGGAGCGAGTGTCGGATCGCGTGCGGGAGGGAGATGGAGCGAAAGTAGTGGGGTCACACTGGCTTGAAGAAGTTCGCGGGTTGATCGAGGAGTTTTAAAAGTTGTAAATGTTGATAAAATGTCAATGTTTTTTTAAGAATGGCTTAGACTAAAAAAAAGATTAGCCATATTGTGTGTGATCGGATCTCAAAAATTAAAGTGTTCTGGTGCGAAAACTGATACAGTAAGTGCACACAAAAGAAAACTTGGTAAAATTAACCAATCTACTATTCAAAAAGTCCCCAAGCAAAAAAATGGTCAATTAAATAGTTACTTTCCCAAGAACAAATTCACACTATTAGCAAAGACACACACCAAAGCAAATACAAAATACACGTAACTATTTTTTATAGTTACGTAACTCTCCGTATAGGTAAATTTTACCAATAAAAGTTTTTTGTGTGCAGCTTCGCAGTTGAAGGAGTGATCCTCATAACGTTTATTCTCATTAAAAGGTGTTTTTGATTGAAAAGTAGACAACTTCGCATATTATATAGTGGTACGTAAATTTGTAAAAAAAAGTGTTGTTTTATTTTTAAAGTCGGACGTACAAAAAACTCCGAACACAAATTTCTCACGCCGATTTGTTGTTTTGTACGTGTGCTTATCAAAAAGGTGTCGGAATGTAAAATGTTTTTAACAACTTGTATTTAAAATACAGTTTAGGTTTGATGTTTTCCTCGTAAACTTTTATAATTATTTTGTTTTGATAAAATATAACAACAACGTAAATAATTATATTTCTACATGCTTAATTTCTTACATTTATATTGCATGGTGTTAAATCATCTCAATTAAAATGGCTATCAATTAATTATACAAGCTATTAGTTTACTGTTTAAATGCTCTGAAATGCCATTTTAAATTAATCAATTTGCGATAATAGCGCGAGGGTCGCCCTATAAGCTATCCGTGCGCACAACAATACAGTTTTTGTGTGTAATTCCGAACGCCTTTTTACTGCACTCCCACTTCGATTTTTAGCGATGTTGGTCAAAGAATTAAACTCACTGTGGTGGCAAAAACTTTGATTAAAATTTGCATTGTAAAAAGATATTTACCAATGATTTACATTTTTTTTGCAGTCCTACTCTTTCACCAGTTTTATCCATTCTTGCATCTGCTGTTGTTCTAGTTAGGATTCGATTTTTGCCTCTGTTTCCTTTTTTTGTGGAGAAGCAATCAGTGAGAATGGAGCTGGGGAAAAAGTTAACACAATACTGTTAACCAATTTATGACCATTGATTATTTTGATGCTCTTCCAAACAGATTCCCAAAAAAAATGTGGAAGGGTGGGGCGATACCGACCACCCCCAATTATTTCTCAGATGAAGAAAGATACTATTATACAATAAAATAAAATTCAGTCCCATTCTACAAAGTAATAGTTGTTTATCTTTCTGTTAATGCGATATACTGTTTTTGCTTTAGTAATTCCTCTGAAAGAATTAAAAAGAAAATGGTTGCCTGTTTTTATACCCATAATTTTACTATTTACTCTATTTTTCGATCCACTCTCATTGTACTAATTCATTTTTGTAGCTTTAGGTTTGTGGTAATCGGGTAATTCGAAATTATTTGTTCTATCAAGTACACCAATCGCAGATACGTGTTAATACAACAATTTAATAACGAGAAAGAATCATATAAAAAAGCTTGGTTCGACCTGATTTATGGCAAAAAGCTGAAACTGACCTGACAAGTTTAAAATGCAGTCCCTATATTGCGCAGGAATAATATTTCTGATCTCTGGTTCTTTGGCGGAGGCAATCTCAGTCGGTAAAGCTTCACGCCAGCTTGTAAGATATCTTATATGAAATACTAATTCATTTTATTAGCTACCCATTATAATTATTCTTTTAATAGACAGCCTGGGAGTACTCCATAATATCGGTGTCCATGACGACGGACAATGAGGAGTTGGCTGGCGGCGAAACTCACATCGACCGTATTAGTCGCGGGGAATACGGGCTGAGTGGTTCTCTGTATACCAACGTCGATGTTCCTCAGGACTTCGAGGTTACCGTTACCATCTACCGCAGCACCGATAACGGTGATACCTATAAAATCCAGCCGTACTCGCTTCCTCGACAAACTGTATACCAGGCTATGAACAGCTTCTACAAGAATGCAATCATGCCGAGCGTCGTTAATTGCTCGAATTTGCCACAGTTCAAGGGCACCTTGGAGTTTATACCCGCCACGTTATGGACATTTGAAAAGTGCCAGGTGAACACGGATGGATTTCCGCAATATATGCCTGACGGCTGGTATAAAGGCGTCATTGAATCCCACGGTTACGTAAATCTCATCTGGACGGGCGTCTTCAGTGTCAAGCAAAGGACCTTCTAGAACAGGTCATACTTCGAATTGTATCCAAGGATTGGTTGCGCTTGAAATCATGAAATTGGTTATTGGAACTACCTAATTTTTTCAAATCGTACAATTATTTATCAAAATGAAAATAAATTGAAAGGCATTGATACAGACATTTTTATAGTGAAAAGTAAAAGTAATAACTGATTGAATTTATTATAATTTTTATAATAAATCTGCCGGAATTTTATAAACTATGCAGTGTTTTTTTTAATGTTCGATTATTTGTTCTCAAAAGAAAGCGAAAAAATTCGGGCAAAAAATAGAAAATCGTTTAATTCATTTCAAATACAATTGATTTAAATACATCGAAAATTTCATGGCATTCTACAATACAAACAAGAGAGAACGCTATAGTCGGGTTGGTGTCCCGACTATCTGATACCCGTCACTCAGCTAGCAGTGCGAGGGAGAGGGGGATAAAAAACTTTAACTGCGCATAACTTTTTAATGAATAGTCCGATTTGAAAAATGTCTTAATAAACACTATAAAATTGCATTTATACATTTTAAAAATCTTAAAAGATGTGACCGCCAGACGTTTATGGCGATTGTGGGCGTTAGGGGGGGGCGTGGCACCTCGATGAAACAAACTTGCGCTACGTAGGAAGCCAAAGAAAATGTGTGGGTAATCCCAACTTTCTAGCTTTTGTAGTTTCCGAGATCTTGTTATACCCTTGCAGAGGGTATTATGATTTCAGTCAGAAGTTTGCAACGCAGTGAAGGAGACGTTTCCGACCCCATAAAGTATATATATTCTTGATCAGCATCACAAGACGAGTCGATCTAGCCATGTCCGTCTGTCCGTCTGTCCGTCCGTCTGTCCGTCTGTCCGTCTGTCTGTCTGTCCGTCTGTCCGTCTGTCCGTCTGTCTGTTTCTACGCAAACTAGTCTCTCAGTTTTTGAGCTATCGGGACGAAACTTTCGCAAAAGTCTTCTTTCTATTGCAGGTAGTATATATGTCGGAGCCGACCGGATCGGACAACTATATCTTATAGCTCCCATAGGAAGGATCGGAAGAAAAAAACTTTAAAAAATTCTAGCTTCGGTGTTTTTTTAAATATTACCTTCTACTTTTGGGGATGTTATTTTTTAAATATTTCTGAATTTCGAATTAATTATTTAAAAAATCGGACTACTATATCATATAGCTGCCATAGGAACGATCGGAAAATTAATGGAAAAGTAATAGGAAATAAATTCTAGCTTCTTTGATTTTTATTGTATTATCTTCTACTCTAGGATATGACTCTTTTTAAATATTTCCGAATTTCAATTTTAATTTGATCAAAATCGGACGACTATATCATATAGCTGCCATAGGAACGATCGGAAAATTAATGAGAAATATTAGAAAATTAACATTTTTGCGATTTGTTAATTAATAGGAATGATCTGCAAGGGTATATAGGCTTCGGCTGGCCGAAGCTAGCTTCCTTTCTTGTTTTTAGTGACATCAGTTATATTGTTTTACCGGATAATGCAAAGCTATTTTTTCTATCAAGTATACCAATCGGAGAACCGTGTTAGCATGATCATTTTATATCTCACTATATTTTTCGATCCACTCTTGTTTCCATATACGTAATACCTGGTTTGTAGTAGCAACAGTTATATTGTTTAGTGGTAATCGGATTATGAGAAATAATTTGTGCTATCAAGTACAAACATCGTAGAAACGTGCTAACATGGTCGTTTTATAACGTCGGACATGTCGATAACTAGCAAAAAATCATATAAATAAGGTTTAATTCTCGCAGATGTATGACAGGAAGCTAAAAGAGACACTTAAAATGCAGTCCATATACTGCACTGGAATAATACTTTTGATCTCTGGATCTTTGGTGGAGGCAACCTCAGTCGGTAAAGTGGTGAGAAGTTTTTTAAGCCATGTATCTTTTATGAAATACGTACTAATTAATTATTCAATAGAAATCCTGGGAGTACAGTATAATATCGGCGTCCATGACGACAGACAATAAGGAGGTGGCTGGCGGCGAAACTCACGTCGATCGTATTAGTAGCGGTGAGTACGGACTTACTGGTACCCTGTATACCAACGTGGATGTTCCCCAGGACGCGGAGGTTACCATTACAATCTACCGCAGCACCGATAACGGTGAGACCTATAAGATCCAGCCGTATTCGATACCGCGCCAAACTATATATAGCGCCATGAACGGTTTCTATAAGAAGATAATCATGCCGAGCGCGGCCAACTGCTCGAATTTTCCCCAGTTCAAGGACACCTTGCAGTTCATTCCCGCCCAGGTGTTCAAGTACGAAAAGTGCCAGGTGAGCACAGATGGATTTCCGCAACATATTCCTAATGGCTGGTACAAGGGCGTCGCCGAAACCTACGGATTCGTAAAGGTCATCTGGACGGGCGTCTTTGCTGTCACGCAGAAATCCTTATAGAAAAGGTCCTTAATCAGATTGGTATGTCATATAGAGTGGCTATATCAATTCCGGATATTATATTCCAGTTCCAAATAGTGAAATCTGGAAATTTGTTGATGGATATTATCTTACTTAATCGTACTTAAATAAAAATGATATTTAAGATACATCTCCTTCGGTAAAAAATATACGTATATATTCGTATTCAGCATAATCCCTTAATTCAGTTTTATTTGGGATTTTTTAATTAGAACATCTTATAAATTTATTAAGCAAATACTGTAACTAATTCGAATTTAAAGCTTGTGTTTTATAATCAGACTGATACTGCTGATTGATTTTGCTACAATTTCGGATTGCAGTCAGCCAAAGTGGCAACTACAACGTAAACCGATGCTTACAAAGTAGTCAAACAGTCAAAGACCCGATGTTTCAGATGCGAAAGATACGTAGATAAGTCAGATAAGTCAGGGGCGTTGTGTGGCGGGGTAGGTAAATTCTGGCTCCCGCTTTTTGCATAACTTATAAATCGATGACGTTGGCAGCCGAGAGCGCATCTCGAGTTGGTACATTTGCATAATAAGGCAGCCAGTGCATGCAGCACACAGCATACAGCATGAGAATCTTCCTGCGATTCATTGGGAAATTCTGGGAAAGGCAAGGGGGGGGGGTTTCGTCAACGGGGATCCCCCGCACTGCAGATGTGTGTGAGTGACTGAGTGTTTTGGATTCTGTGTCAAAATGGCGCAGAAAAATGCTCGAGTGGAGCTGACTGCAGAGCGCCAAAGTGGAATGAATTTGACACATCGAAGCTAAGATATGCACCCCTAGCCACTCGATTTCTGAGCCACATCGCAGTGTTTCTCGTGTCCTGGCTAAAATCCTTTTCATGTATATTCGAATTATGGACTAAAAAATGTGGGACAAATAAATTATGTGTTTTTCCAAGACATTTACATATCTGAAAAATGCATTTGTATTATACATCGAAATTATGTCTTACACATTAGAGAAATATTTAACTTTGGAGAACAAATTCGAGGTAAAGCTTTTCGTATCACATTGATATAAAACAGATTATATTGATCTTCTCTTTTTATAATTTTTCCAAAAGAAATACTAAACAAAAGCGTTACATTAATCATATTGGACTTTAATTGATCTGAAATAAAGTCAAATCAAATCACTTTTTTCTATATTAATTGGACATTTTATTGTAATTTTTTTTACATAATATCAAATTTCTAATTAAATAAAATTTTTAAAATATTTTCGCATGTTAAATAAATTAAAAATATTTTTAAAATGGCGTTCGTTGAAATAAACATTTTTTCATTGAAGCATTCAAAATGATTATAATAATGTTGATTTTAGCTTGTGTCTGCTGAATGTTTTTTGTTCATTTTTGAGCTCTAGGCACCACTAACTTTTTCTACGAAATCTGCATATCATCTATTCAGTATAACTTTATTTTCGGTGGTAGATATTTCGACTGCTATCTCTTTGTTTCTCTCGTTCTCTTTATGTATATGTATTGTATGGATAACTGTATACATTAAGTCATAACTTCATTTGGCGGCCATGGGCATTCATTTAGTTTATGGTTGTGCAACTCGCGTACCGCCGCTCCTCCCATATCTCTTCGTATCTCGATAAATTCATTTGGGGCTTGTTAGGAAGGCTCGGAATCGCCAGCTCCACTGGCGCCACCCAGCCATTGGCTAATCTTGTTGCGCATTGCCATAATTTTCAATTTACATGCACCCAGTGAGTCCTGGCCCCTCTCATTTACCACCCATTTTCCGCCCCTCCAATCCCCTCCCCCTTCCCCCACCCACCCTGCACAGGAGCTATCCGGCGAGTCAGTCCAGGCGTTATATTGGTCACAATAAATTGACTGCAATGGCACGGCCATGTGTGTGTGTGTCTTTAGTCGAGTGCGGGTGTATGTGCACTGGAAAAAATGTAGCATAGAAATTTGAAAGTATTCTATTATTACCATATAATTAGATTAAACGTAATAAAAATGTTCGCACCCTTTAAAAAAAAAGTATTAGTATGTTTCAAATTCACCTAAATAAGTAACTAAATATTATAACAGTGCATGCGTTATCAAAAAATTACTATTTTCTTATCTAATTGATAACATGAGTTTCTTATCAGCTTAACAAACACATAAGAATGACTTTTCCAGTTATTTTACCTTAATTATGATGTGTGCTATGTCATCTTGTGTAGAAATACAATGCATAATAAATATTATAAAGAAATACAATATCCTGAAAAAGGGTATAAAATGGATAAAATTTGTTCATATGTTTATTTAAAATAGGTATTTAAATGTAGTGTTCAACGGTTTTTCTCAGTGCATCAGTGTATCGTGCCAGTAGTTGTACTTTGCTTCCATTCCCTTGATTATGGCCTGCAGTTACCACACCCCGTCACCACCTTACTCCCAGCGACACGACACCATCCCCAGCCCCCTTTTGCACTGCAGTTGCATTAGGCGCTGACGTCACTCCCCTACCCCTCCCCTCCCCCCACCAACCCACCGATGCGGAGTGCAACATTTCGATTTGCGCCATCATCGTGGGCATCGTGTCCTTTGTCCCGGCGTGTGCCTAATCATTGACACATTCATTGATGCATCCGAGCGCATTCTGGCATATTTACGAGCTGTCCTAATTGTCCCCAAGCAGATGCATCTCCCTCCACTATTTTAAGCCCAAATGACGCCATCGCATTGAGTCCCTGGCTCTAATTAGGGGAACATTTATGGCTAACTTTAAAAACTAAATATCATGATAGATTTGATAGATTTATACTAATACTCGCTAATATAATAAATGGGTGTGCTTTAAAAAATATTTTTAAACCCATTAAGCAAAATTTAAATATACACATTTATTAAAGAACAAGAGAGAACGCTATAGTCGGGTGCCCCGACTATCAGATACCCGTTACTCAGCTAAAGGGAGTGCGAAGTCTCCTTCCTTCCTTTGATCCGCCGTAACTTTTTAACGAATGGTCCGATTTAAAAAATTTCTTCTACATTTCGTTAGGTATTGATAAACACAATAAAACTGCATTTTTACTTTTCCGAAATATTGAAATTTTTAAAATCGTATATAAGCGACTGTGGGCGTTAGAGGGGGCGTGGCACCCTTTTGAAACAAACTTGCGCTGCGTAGGAACTCCTAGAATCTGCATGCAAAATGTCAATCTTCTAGCTTTTATAGTCTCCGAGATCTCAGCGTTCATACAGACAGACAGACGGACAGACAGACAGACAGACGGACAGACGGACAGACGGACATGGCTAGATCGACTCGGCTAGTGACCCTGACCAAGAATATATATACTTTATGGGGTCGGAAACGCTTCCTTCTAGCTGTTACATACTTTAGCACGAATCTAGTATACCCTTTTACTCTACGAGTAACGGGTATAAAAACATTATAAATTGGTTTGTTCAAAAACTTAAATTAAATATTTGTTTATTTTACACGAAACATTCCTATTTCGCGATTTAATCCAAACCATGTTAACAAACTATTTTAAATTTTTCTTATAGTTAAGTTTAATTTAACTTTAAAGATTACGAAATGAGTTTTAAATGTGAAAACCTAGCAAGCAGAGTTGTGCCTTTAAGCATTATCATTACTTTTTCATTATCATTAAAAAATGTAATGCTAGTGAAATCAGTTTTCATTATCATTAGAAAAAGTAATGCTTTTAATGCATTACTTTTGACAAATATAATGCTAATGAAAATTCAATTCATTATTTTTGACAAATATAATGCTAATGAAAATTCAATTCATTACATTTGAGAAAAGTAATGCTAGTGAAAAATATTTCATTACTTTTGAAAAAAAAGTAATGCCAATGATATTTTTTCATTACCATTAATAATGATAATGAAAAAATTTGCATTACAAATTTCATTAAATATCTTTTAACTTTATTTTTTTGACAAAGTACTGCAACCGCAAAACCATATGTATCTCAATTGAATACAGCCATTTTTAAGATAAGACGCTACTTTAAAGGCAAGGTTTTACGTCAGTACTACAACATGCACTTGACTTACAAGAACTTAATAGTCGTAATGCAACGCCAAGTGCATTTATTTTTTCAATGAAAAAGATTGGTCAAAATGGGAAAATATTTTTTTACTGAAATCGCCATCTTTGTTGTGTACCCTTTACTGAACACCTCTGCTGGTTAGGGGTTGTCTTCATCCATAGAGGCCTGAAGGTTTCGCGGTTTGATTTGTATCTTTTTTTTGCATTAGTTACAAGTTTAGTATACTAAACTTATAAACTATAACACATTCATACTTAACTTACAAAACTTCTTGACAGTGCTGAAGAAGTCGCGGTCCATGGAAGAAAATTTGTTTTTAAAGTTTTTTGGGGGTATTGGCCGCTGTACTACACAGTTGCCGAAAAGTATCCAATGAGGATAGTCTTTTGGCGGTTTTACATTGAATGTCTATATTGTGGAATCATTGGATCTGACAGATCCTAAGAATTTGTCAACCAAAATCGCCAGGATACAAATGATTTGCCAGGAATCCAGGAAAAAGTAAAAATGTTCTATTTTATTTTGTTAAGTATATATGTGCGGCTTTATTTTGTAAGTGATAGAATATGAGAAACTTTATTTAATAGAAAACATAATATAGTTTAAGTTTGATAGTTCTTCGATTGAGTATTTATCGTCGTCGCGTCGTTTGATAAAGCACGTTTTTGCTCAGTCGGCCGTCATGACCGTCTTGGCTTCGCTTCAGGTCATCTTTTTGTCGTCTTGATTGTAGTCTTCTTCATATTCGTTTTCATCAGGGAAGAGCGATTCCTTGAGAGTTCTGAATTAAAACTGTTTATTTCTATCAATTGTACGAACTTAGGTAGCTAACCTGTGAAGTGATTTACAAAGGTTCTTATGTTAAAAATTATTTGTTATTATTTATTTATTAAAATTATTTAAAAGACATTGTTTGCTTTTAAAACAACGAGCTTTTCGAAATGGCCATCCGACAAATTTTGTCTTTTCTTCCCATTGACCATGCCGGCGTAACTGAAAAGACGCTCTACAGGAGCAGACGATGGTAACGGAGTGTTGTATTTGAAAAAAGTCGCTTTAATAATAGGATATCGATTTAGGCATTCCAAGTCTTCATCCATGTCGTTCAAATAGCGGCCGAACTCTACGACGACAGAGCTTTCGTGCAATGTTAGATCTATAAAAAGAAAAAAGTATTATACAGTTGTGTATGTGCAATATTTGGAATTTATTTACCCTCAGTTGTTTCTCCAAAATCAAAAAAACTTAAACCTTTGCTTCTTACAGATGTAGAGGGAGTATCATTGAAAAATGCAGACGCATGTTTTAGGAACATATCCTTGAATTTAAGATCTGTCCATTCTTGTGCAGTACTCTTCATTGAAGGAAGAAACTTAAATTTGATTGCTGGACATGTAATAGCGGCGACAAAAGCATCATGAACTTTCGGTGATACTGTGAAAATATCACGGAATCTCCCCTCAAGTGCGTTTATCAAATCTACAATTCTTACATTTAAGAAATTGAACTCATTATTAAGATTCATTTTTTCCCATTTGACTTTTAATGTCAATATTGTTGGGACGAAATAGCCGTATAACATGGTCTTCTCGTTTTGAAGGAAATCCAGTCCTGTAGCCAGAGGCTCCATTATTTTGCAATACTCTTGCAAATATTCCATTTCACTAGAAGTAAACTTCGTGACATCTAATAGCTTAAAAAGATCGTCAAACTGGTCTTTGAATTTTAACACATGCTTAAAGGCGTCGTAAAGAGTGTTCCACCGAGTTGCAACTGGCGTTTTAAGTGAGCAGCCCAGCAGGCTTTTGATGCACTCTGCAGTTTTTGGGCGGTTACACTTGTTCCATATTGCTGAACACCTTTTCAATACACTCGCATGCTCCCCGAACACTCTGCTGTCAGACTTAATAATGCTCATGTAATCCGTTGTGGCTAACAGGTTAAGTGTGTGGCAACCACACCTATAATGTTTTGGCAGCCGAAACAATGGGATCTCCTGTGATTCAGGAACGTCATCGTCATAATCTGCTACACCTTCTGATTGACCTTCATTATCAAGACTGATGCCAAACTCCTTGAAGGCCTTAACGAAATTGCTTCCGTTATCAGTAATAGTGCATACGATTTGTTCGTTGCTTAGATGAAAGTCATCATTTATGCGTTGTACGAACTCAGCGACTCTGTGAAAGGTGTGGCTTCCAGCCATTCGACTACACGCCAGTGCAACGGAGTGACGTTGGAAATTGTTATCAAGCCAATGGCATGTGTATCCAAAAAAGGATCTCTTCTTTGTTGACCAAATATCTGCCGTGGTGCACACGAATTTCACAGAATTTAATTTTTCAATCATAAGTACCTTGTGAAAGTCAAACTTGTCATCTAAAAGCTTAGTCAATTTCTTTCGTCCCGGCACAGTTTCTGAATTGTTTTCAAAAAGGGCAACGAAAGATGGATTGTCTACAATTGACAAAGAAGAAAAGGTATCGACAACGAACTTTAATACTTTTTCGTCAAAGTCAGACTGCCTTAGCCCACATTTTTTTGTCCTCTTAGACTGAAGCTGTTTTTCGAAAATATATTCTTCGTAATCTTTCCTATGTTTTTCCTTAAGGTGGCTTATGAAGTTTGAGGTGACTTTTATTGATCCTCGATATTGATTAGGCATGGGGCATGTCTGGCATGCTGCTAAAACACCGCTAGCTTGCTTTTGGTGAGATGTGTTACAAACCTAAAATTGGATTATATAATAATATATTAATTAACTATGCCATTTTTCTATCAGTGTTTTTAATTTCATTAATTTAACAAATGGCCTTACACCTTTTACTTGACGCATTTACACTTCACTTACCGGTTTAATAATTTTAAAATATTTCCCATTTAATATCAAGGGCACTTGCGGGTCATCTAAAGCTACTTTTTCTTCCAAGGAACTATGCGAAGTGCTGGGTCTAGTTTTAATTTTTTTTATTAACTAGTACGTTTTTTCAAACGTTTAAGAAGAATACTCACGAAATGTTGGAAAACGAAGTAATCATTGACTGATTGCTGCATCCGTCCATCCCGTCAATCACTGGTTTATTTTCACTCGCCATTTCACTTGTTTTTTTTTTTGTAACTTGCACTGATTTTTTTTTATTTGTTTGCTCCGACACTGATTTTTCCTTATTTGTGTGTTCCGACACCGCTTTTTATGATATGTTTGCTCCGACACTGCTTTTATATAATGGTTTAATTTGACACTGCATGTCATTCGTTAGTGAATTTGACCGCAAAAGCCTGCTGGGATGCTTACTTAAAACTGAACAAAATTAAATAGAATACGGACCCCGATTTTTTATGAATAACCGCCAAAATATGTTGTAAGTTAAGCATAGCACTAATGTACTTGCTTTTACGAATACAAACAGCAACCGATCCAAAAAACAATCGAAATCAATCCGCGAAATCTTCGGGCCACATTGGTTGAAGACAACCCCAATGGCACAGCGGTCCATAACTCAAAAAACGTTAAAATCTATTTTTTCTCCATGGACCGCGAGTTCTGAAGAACTACCACCAAGAAATTTTCGGAAACTGCATAGTACAGCGGTCCTAAGCTCGAAAAACGTTAAAAGCTAATTTTCCTTCATGGACCGCGACTTCTTCAGTACTGGCACTAAGAAGTTTTGTATGTTAAGCATGAACTCGTAACTAATGCATAAAAAGATAAAAGTGAAATCGCGAAATCTTCAGGCCTATTTGCATGAAGACATGGTTTGCGGTTGCAATACTTTATCAAAAAAGTATAGTTAAAAAATATTTAATGAAATTTTTAATGCAAATTTTTTCATTAGCATTATTAATTGTAATGAAAAAATATCATTGGTATTACTTTTTCTCAAAAGTAATGAAATATTTTTCATTAGCATTATATTTGTCAAAAGTAATGCATTGAATTTTCATTAGCATTATATTTGTCAAAAATAATGAATTGAATTTTCATTAGCATTATATTTGTCAAAAGTAATGCATTAAAATCATTACTTTTTCTAATGATAATGAAAACTGATTTCACTAGCATTACATTGCTTTAATGCTAATGAAATTGCTAATTCATTACAAATCTAATGCATTAGTCACAACTCTGCTAGCAAGTATCGCGAAAGTTTTCCTTTTGAGTAAATGGCTAAGTCCATCGGCAGAAGGGGTGCATTTTACCGCAGCAAACAAAGCTGGGACTTAGCAACAGCAAAAGAGCCAAAAAACAACATGGAAAAACTGAGACTCCACCAAGGACCAACAGTCGAGAAGGAGAAGCTTTTGGCCCTCATAAACAATAAACTTTTCCACATACACACTCACAAGGGAGGCTGAAACTAATTTGCGAGAACATTGAAAATCCCTTAAAACTGCTGCACCATCTGCAAGATAGTCTCAGATTGCAGGTACTGGTGGGATTTGAAAGGTGGTTAAGATAAATAAAAAAATTTATGACAAATGAAAGGATTTTAACATTATAGTTTTTCTTAAACTTGAAACTTTTTGTTTCTTTAATTATCGATTTTTCAACATTTTTTAATAAAATATTTAATTTTTAAAATAATGTTTAATAATCTCTGGCCCCACAGTTCTTTCTAACTTATGTTAGGTAATATTATTTGCGTGTATTAATTTATGGTATCTTTAATTTTGGAGCCACAACTGGAAGCCACGCCTTAACGAGTTCTCAAACTGAGACCATAAACCCAAATTGGAGAGATACTCGCCATCTCCCTGCACTCCCAAATGGCTCCCAAGCGTGCGTGTGCGTATTTGTTGTGGGGTGGCACTTACCCTGTGACCCCCCTGGAAACCACCGGGTACCCCGCCTTTGGCCAACTTCATCAGCGTTCACATTTCCAGCCCCTCGTGCTGTGGAAACTGTGCAACTTGTGTGTTGCGCATTTCAACTTAACTGAATTATTAGCCGACTTGTGTGAATTATGATCTCTTAGTGCTGATACACCAGGCCACACGGCAACGCCTGGTTTGCTATCCCCCTCGCCCCCATGTGAAATGCACCCCCTCAAGCTGGCGCCACTGTTGCACTCTCAGCCACTTTCGTTAATGCATTTGCCCAGTGGCCATGTGGGATTCTTGTTGCTCCTGCTCCTGTTCTTGTTCCAGCCATATTTGTTGTTGCTACTCAGACAATTTTCCAAAAACAATAACAGAAACAACAAATAGGCACACGTATTTACATAGAAAAAAAAAATTTGTAATAAATGTATTTTTAAATTGTTTTTTTTTTAAGATTTAAGCCTTTAAATTAAGACTAATATTTTCCAAATAACTCATATAAAAGAATAATAAGATTGGATATTTATTTCACTTTATGATAACTCTTGTCGAGTCTTATTTTCCAATTAAGGTTTTTTTAGATTTTATTTTGTATTTTAAGATTAAGTTTTCTGCTAATTTTTTTATTTATATTTCTTTTTCTTTTTTTTTTTTCATCAATCGTTCTAATTATTTTTGCTCGGTGTAGCTTTGGTTATCCGAATTTCAACTGTTGACTGTTCACCTTGCAGTTGCAACTCACACAAAATCCAAAAAGACGAAGGCTGAGCCAAACAAAAACTTGCTTTTTCAGTCCCATACGAAGCCTCCTCTCTGTCTGGGGCTTAAGCTTTTGTTATATTCATGCTGTTGTTATTGGTCTTTGCAATTGTTGTGGGGCATTGCAGGATCCAGATCCCCCTGGATCTGGCATACATTTTTTTATACTCTGCTTCCCACAGATTGCAGCATAACTCATCCCTGGAAAACAGGGGAAAACCCCGAAAAGAATGAGCAAGAAAGTGTAGCTATGAGGGACGAAGATGAAAATACTCTTGAGCAAAATAGGTAAACATTGGCATCGCGTAAATATTTGAAAGTTGTTACTTTAAGATTGAGTATTTTTTAAGTTTTAGTTGTGAAGAGAGCACTCTGAAATAGAATGATAAGGTTTTACTGGGATACTGCAGAAGATTAGATTTAATAGAACTTCTTTAAATAAAAACCTAAAACAAATATTGCATTGCTTTATTTCTTAGGTTTTTTCAGCACAGTTTTTAAGTAAACATTTTTTGGAGTATCCCATAATTTTTTCTAAAAACGCAAAAAGTATACAAAATTTAATTCTATTATAAAGTAAAAAAAACCAAATGAGAAATAATTACCTTTAACAGAAAGCTAAAGGGTTAACCCTTACATTTTTTTATCCACCAGCATCTGCAGTACCCAAATATATTTAATATATTATTTCAATAGTTGAAGTACCCAATTCAAAATTAAAATCCAAGATATGCATTGAACATTTGGCTGAACTCACTCTGAGAGGGCATCGTCAAATGCTTTTAGGCCCAGACGAACTTTACTTAACCCCGACCTCTATGGATCTGCATGGACCTTAGTCCCTTAGCCACCATCCATTCTCCAGTTGGTTGAAAATGATTTATGACGCTGGTCGTAGGGATTAGCATATGGAACCAAACAGAGCCGCTTGTTCTGGCCGTCTCCTTGCCGTTTTACCGTTTTACCACTCCCAAAAGGCTGCTCCGACTAAGCCAGTTTCCGTTTGTTTGCTTAGGCTAGAAAATGGACAAGATTTGGGCTAAAATCGAACCGGAAATGGCTTAAGCAAACACAGACACACGCTGGCCTGCATATATGTAGGCTAAAGTGTGCAAATCTCAGTGTGCGTGTGGGGCGACAGGAAGGCAGGGCAAGGGAATGACCTGCAGTATGCGTAATTAACCTTTGACACGGACGGGTTAGTCTGCCCTGCTCTCTCTCGCTCTTTCCCTTTCCCTGTCCCTTTCTGGCATATTCATATTTCACTTACCGTTTGGCAATTAGTTCATTGCAGGTGTGCACAAAAGGGACAGGCCAAGCATCGTCAATTGATCTCTGAACCCTTGGCCAAAGATTGCTACGATTTTCCTCCTAATTATGTTTTCTTTAATCTGCCCCTTGTGCTCGTGTGTGTGTGTGTCCCGCATAATCTCTTTCTAAGCAGATATATGCATGAATATTGGGAGCTTTGAGGCTGTAATTTAAAGATAACTATGACAAGTCCTCAAAAGACATTTTGTGTTCATTATACATGTTAAGCTATATGGGACATGTACGTCAGTTTTGGTGACCTGAATGGGCTTTGAATGCGATTACACCATAGAGTACTTGTCAAACATTATATCCAAGGGGACAAGAGTTATGGTTACAAGTAAATCGAATTAAACTATAAAATGTTTGTAACTAGTTCTGAATTTTTCTTGATAGGGTAGCACTCAACTGAACAAAAAGTCGTCCTAAACAAAAAACTTCATATGATAAAAAAGTCAAAAAAATGTTGTTCATATGAAGTTTTTTGTTTTGGACGACTTTTTGTTGGGTTGAGTACACTTGCCCATACTCTGAAAAACGTATTATTGAAAATATATTAATTTTGAAGCTTAATTATTTTAATCTCGCTTTTGAATTGTATTGAGTTTTTCTTGGTACTCTGAATTTTATTATTAAAAAATATGTTCATTTTGAAACTCAAATATTTTAATCTTATTTTCGTAATGTTCGTTTGAAGTCTTCATCAAAGAATAATAAAGCCATGGCTTTGGTATATCTGCAGATATACCAAAAAGTGAAAAAAATAGTACGAAAGTTATTTACTGGGTCTGAATTGTCTGTTTTTAATGCCTATAAAATACAAGAAATGTGGGTGAAATTGCAGGAATGTCGATTCGATATTTAATGATGTCCATGATCGTGTTCACTGCTCTGTTTGTGGGACTTGTGCCACTTCTTCTTGTGCTCCTCGCCACCCTTTTTGCCGTGCTCCTTCTTGTGGCCCCACTTCTTTGACTCCTCGTGCTTCTTCTTGTGTCCCTTGTGACCCTTCTTCTTGTGGCCCTTCTTGCTGTGACCCTTCTTGCCGTAGTGCTCCTCGTGTCCGCCCTTCTTTTGGTGACCCTTCTTGAAGCTGCTGCCCTTCTTGTGCTTCTTGGACTCCTCGAATCCGCCGTGCTTCTCCTCCCCGGCCTTGTTGTGATCCTCGTCGTAGAACTTCTTCTCCTTCTTATTCTCGTCCACCTTGTGGACGTTGTGCTTGCCCTTGATGGAGTGTCCCTTCTTGTAGGAGCCATGATCCTCGAACTCGCTGCCCTTTTCGCCCTTGGAGCCCTTCTTCTTCTTCTTGTGATGTGACTCGGAGTGCTTGTGCTTCTTCTCGTGACCCTCCTCCTCGCCGTGCTCCCCCTTCTTGCCCTCCTTGTCGTGGTGACCCTTCTCGCCCTTCTCGGAGTGCTCGTCGTGCTTGTGACCCTTCTTGCTCTTTCCTCCCTTCTTGTGGAAATGCTCGCTGTGGTGCTCCTCTCCGGACTCCTCCTCGCCGCCTTCGGAGTGCTCCTCGTGCTTCGAGGCGGCCACTAGCTGATCTTCGCCCTGAATTGATAAGATAATTAAGATTAAAGAAAATTCCTTTGGTGGCAATGTGGCGTATACTTAATATTACTATTTTGGCTTGGGATATACAAAGATATAGAAGATAAAAGAAATAGAAGATACAGAAGATATAAAAAAATGTAGTTCTTAAACAGTCTCAAAAATGATTAAGCAATATATATGAACTTTCAAAATTTAGAAATACTTCAATTTTATAAAATGGGGTTACAGATTTTGTACAAATATTAGGAAATTTTTGAACTTTATTATTGAATTATTTATTTATTAATTATGAATGAATTATTTATTAATTATTTAATCATTTATAATTATAATTATATAATTAATTATTTATATTAGGGCCGTTCCTTATAATAATATCTTGAAAACCATACTTATTATAAGAACAAAATAGTTCAACTAGAATAATCACATTCTTACCTCGTCCTGTTTCTGTCCGAAGTATGGCTGAAAATCCTCAAAGCCCTGGCCAAGCAGCGCCGAGCTTATGGCCATGGCCCTGTCCGGCGTTGAGTGGAGGGCCAAAGCCCTGGCCAGAAGCCCCAGCAGCGTTATCACTTGCCAGGCCGGCCACATAGCTGATGCCACTGCTGCTCCTTGTTATCCTGGGTGGCTGCCTCCACCGTTTGCCTCTGATTCCTCCGATTCCTCTGATTCCTCTGGGTCTCTCTGGTGCGACTGCCACGCCCGCTTATCGCCGTCTGTCTACTGGAGTCGCCTCGAGCCGCCGGAGCTTTTTATCCACTCTCTTCTCGCCCTGCCCCAGTTTGCGGCTGATTTGCCAACTTTGCTGCCCGCTTTTTGCAACCCTTTTTATTTGGGTTTCGTTTCGGTGTATTGCGTTCAGTAGGAGGTATTTCAAAGGTATATTACCCCATATATATATATATATTTTTTGATATTATAGTATTTTTTAAGTGATCAAATTACAGGTATGACATAACTTGATATTATGTATACAGTCTTAACTTTTATTTTTTATAATTTTATATTTTAATTGCATATTTACCTGTCGAACAATGTTTTCATATTTAAATATAAGGCTTTTCATTGTGTTATAAGTAGTTAATTAGTGTTAAATAGCTATGATATCGTTGCTGAAGAAATTAAAAGAAATTTTCTCAAGAACTTGTATTTTCAACATATTTTTCTAATTATTTTTCGATTTTATAAAAATATTTTAGGGTGCCAAATAGTCGAAATAGCTTTGCCCACAGTTCCTAACCTTTTTTCTTTTTGTTATTTGGTTTTTGTTTGGTTGTTTCCAGTGTTTCTTTTGTCTTTAAGTGCATAACGTTGTTCCCGACAGAAAAACCCTTCGAACTGGCCAACTTCTTGCGGTTTGGGAGCTCTTTCTTGCCACTGTTGGTGCTTTTGGTCAAAACAAGCGACTTTTGTTGCGCTGCACATTGCAAAACCGAACCAGTTGTTGTTGTCATTGGAAATTACCAGGCCAGAAGACCAAAATCGAATGCCCAAGTGGCACAGTGGGTCTTGGAGTCTTCCGATTGGTTAAGTTCGACGGCAATCGCATGATGGATTCGCTACAAGGCAACGCCCCCTCCCCAATTATCCATTAATCATGAGCATTGCTGTTTGCTGGCTTGATTTTCAACTTAATTAATAATTTATTGGCCACTTGTGAGTGTCTTGTAAGCGGTTGATTGATAACAACAAAAGGGATTTGACCACGAAATCGGAAGGAAGTAAGAAGACAAGGGTCTGCGATAAGAACATGTTTTAGTGGGCGATCTGGAAACCAGACATGTCAATAAATTTGGTTTTCCTGGTCTCTGGGAAAATAATTATATAATTTAGAAATGGAATTATCACTTGGTATTTCATAATTGATAAATTGCCCTTTCTGCCTATAGGACTTAATTAAAATGTTAAAAGGTTAGTTAGTTCATTTGTTTATGGCCTTCTTAATACTGTATACTTTCTTGGGGTGACACCTTTCATCTTGCGTTTACACTTTATTTGTCTTTCGCACCCTCATCATTAATTAAGTTTCCGACACATTTTTCTGTTCGTAATGGAATCTTAATAATTAGAATCTTTATTTTATTTACACTTTAGGTTTTTCCTGGGATTTTGTACTTTTAATTTGTAAATCCGTGTGAAATAATACATTTTTGGCTACACCCAAAAAAAAAACCGAAAGTTTACAGTTTGTACGTTCCCTAGCGAATCTAGGGTGAAACCAAAACGCGTGCAGTTAGTTTGCTGGTCTGATTTCAAGTCGTTTATTGATCGGGAAGCCCTCAACTTCGGGCCGAAGGTTAAGGTCTCCAAATTCTACAAATTAAGATATACATGTTGCGAATCGGTAATGTTTACAATAGGTACATGTTGCGAATAGGTAATGTTAACAAGAATGTTGGTAGAGTAAATAGTATAGGAATAGGTTCCAAGCAAAGAAATAATTTCATACAATAAAATTCATTAAACTCGAATATAATACAAGGTCCAAACATACTCCGCCCGTTGAAAGGTGTACAACCTTTCAAGAACCATATTGGATCGGCAGAGGTGCGATCTTGCAGATTGGTCGTCGTATAACTCCTTTGGCCGTTTGAACATTGACCACACGAACTTTGTTGTCCTCTCCACTGATCGAGTTGATAATGCGTCCAGTTAGCCAGTGCTGGGGAGGGCTATTGTCCTCATGTATGAGAACAATCTGACCAGGTTCGAGGTTTGCAATTGGAGAAGTCCATTTCGCTCGCATCTGAAGCGTGTGCAGGTAATCCCGCCGCCATAGGTCCCAGAGGCGTCTTTTTGTGTATGCTATGCGTTGGAATCGTGTTAGATACGATAACTTGCTGTCATCCACTGCTGGTTCCGGGAGTGCCTTGAGGGACGAACCAGTGAGGAGGTGACCAGGGGTGAGAGCTTCCCCGTCATTGGGATCCTCTGAATGACCAGCAATTGGCCGAGAATTTAGGATGGCTTCGGCCTCTATAGCGATCGTCTGGAGTTCCTCGTATGTCATCCCGCTGTCCGACATACATTTGATAAGTAGGTTCTTCATAGATTTAACCGCCGCCTCCCAGAGTCCACCGAAATGTGGAGCTCTTGGCGGAATAAAGCAGAATTCAACTCCAGTGTCGTTGCTGAAGGTTTCCAGATCCTGCTTAGTTTGCTGACTAAAGAGTTCTTGCTTGAAGCGGTTGAGTTGGACGCTGGCTCCAGTGAAATTTGTCGCGTTATCACAATATATGCGACAGGGACTGCCCCGACGAGAAACAAAGCGCTTCAACGAAAGAATAAATGTATTAGTTGAAAGGTCTGAGAGCAGCTCTATGTGGACCGCCTTTGATGAGAAGCAAACATAGATCGCCAAATAAGTCTTATATGGCACCTTGCTGCGTATGCGATAGGATGTTAAGAACGGTCCACACAGATCTACTCCAGTTACAGTGAATGGTCTGACGGTCTGCAGTCGGTCAGAAGGAAGCGAACCCATGATTTGGTTCGCAAGTCTGGGCTTGTAATGGTAGCAGTGGACGCACTGCCTGACTACAGATGATGCTAGTTTTTTGGCGTTAGCCACCCAAATGTGTAGACGAAGTAGTCCCACAAGCGCTTTGGCTCCAGCATGCATGTTAGTCCTATGCAAGTGATTGACAAACTTCCAGGTGAAATCATGGTCCTTTGGGAGGAGCATAGGATATCTCGCGTCGATAGGAATTGGGGCTCTAGTTAGTCGACCTCCTACTCGTAGAACGGTGAGTGTGTAGGTTCCTACTTCTACCTGTGACAAGTAAGGCGAGAATCCTCGAATTGTTTTGTCCTTGATTTCCTGATTTTTGGCAAGCTGTGAGATTTCCTTTGAGAACGAAGCATTTTGAATTGCAGCAACGATGTGTGTGAATGCCTGATTTAGTTCTGTGGGTGCGATGGCCATTGCGTCTTGAACTGAGAATTTCCTGTTGGCTGGAACTCTGTTGAATACACGAAGGACGTACGCTACTATTCTGAGAATACGTCGATAGGACCCAGTGCGATTGACAATTTCTAGCATGACGCTTCCGAGATGTGGATCATCCGCTATCTTTGGTTTGTCATCTGTAGATTGAATGCTGCTGCATGCGAATGAGACTGCCTTCCGCTTCTCCAAGTAGAGATCATCAAATTCACAATCTGGAGGTGATTGTGGCCAGAACTCCGGATCTAATCTGAGGAATTCAGGGCCAGAGAACCAAATTGTGTCCGATAATTCCGAAGCTGCGCATCCGCGTGAGACGATGTCTGCTGGGTTGCTCTTTCCTGGTACATGTCGCCAAGTTACATCAACCGATTGTTCTTGAATTCTGGATACTCTATTGGCAATAAAGCATTTGAGCTGTGATGAATGTAGATTTATCCAATGAAGCACAATTTGCGAATCAGTCCAAAAGATTGTCGAATTGATTAAGTTTGTGAACTTGTGCTTAATTTTTTGCCATACGTTGCAGAGCAGACTTGCTCCACATAACTCCAATCTCGGTAGCGAGAGTGCCTTGGTTGGCGCTACCTTTGACTTTGAAATTATCAAGCGTGATATAAACTTGCCGTCGATTTTTGTGCGCAAATAAATGCAACAGCCATATGCATGCTCTGATGCATCTGAGAACCCATGGATTTGTCCTAGCTGATGTGGTGACGAATTTACAAATCGAGGTATTTCGACTTGGTTGACGTTCTGGAGATCCGACTCAATTCGATGCCAGTCCACCTTGAGGTTAGATGGGAGAGTGTCGTCCCATCCAAATCCTTGCAGCCAGAGTTGTTGAGCGAAGATTTTACAGCGAACGACCACTGGGCTGAGCAAGCCAAGTAAGTCGTAGAGACGAGCCAGGATTGAAATTACGCGTCGTTTGGTAATCTCTCCGCCCGATGGCAACGCATATCGAAAACAAAATACGTCCGATAGGGGCTTCCAAGACATGCCGAGGGCCTTCGTCACATTGTCTCCGTTAGGCTTGATATGAAACTCCGTATTTGTTTCAATGAGATGACTTGCGTTCCATTTTGCAAGTGCCAACCCTGCGTCTTCGAGAATCGTGTTAACTTCGAAGACCTTCTGCTGCAGCTCTTCGATGGAATCTGCCCCTGTCAGCAGATCGTCGACGTACATGTCTTCGAGGAGTACGGAGGCGCCAACAGGATACTGCTCCTGTTTTCGTTGGGCGATGAACTGAAGACTCCGTATTGCTAAGAATGGTGCGCATGCCATTCCATAGGTCACCGTATTGAGCTGATAGATTTTCAGCGGCTGCTCACTTGAAGACCTCCAAAATATAAGTTGAAACTTGCGATCGTCGGGGTGTACCATAAATTGTCGGTACATTTTAGAGATGTCTGCACTGAGAGCGTGTCTGTGAATGCGAAATGAGAGGAGTGTTAGTAAGAGCGTCTGTTGGATGGTTGGGCCGACCATAACAATATCATTGAGCGACATGTTGCTCGATGTTGTAGCTGACGCGTCGAATACTACACGTAGCTTCGTGGTGGAGCTGTCCGGGCGTAGAACTCCATGGTGGGGAATAAAGTAGTGTGGCTGGGTGAGATCAACATGATCTCTAATCTGCATGTGATTGAGCGAGAGATATTCGCTCATGAATTGGCTGTACATATCCCGTAGCAAAGGGTTGCGCTCTAGGCGCTTCTCCAGTTGTAAAAATCGAGATTTGGCTGTCTCCATTGATGTGCCCAGAGCGTCAGGGGAGTGCTTGAATGGTAAACATACCTGAACGCGTCCGGAGGCAAGAACTGTCACATGAGAATTGAAGTGGTTTTCGCAGGCTTCTTCTTCCTCTGTGAGTGCTTGACGTTCTGTGCTCAGTTCTTCTATTTCCCAAAAGCGCTGCAAGTTGACGTTGAGATCGCGAACGCTTTCCGTTTTGCACATGAATGCGTGTGCCTTTACACTTCTAGGCTCGTCAATTCTGCCGCCAAGCAGCCACCCAAGTGAGGACCTTTGCAGATAGGGTAGATTTGGACCCAGAGAGATTTTTCCTTCTCCCAAGAGACCAAAGAATTCCTGGATGCTGATTAAAATGTCGATCTTGCTTGGTTTGTAGAAGAAAGGATCGGCCAGTTCGATTCCGACCGGAAGCTTCCATCCGTTGGTTTCGACAATGCTTTCCGGCTGGCTTTGAGTGATGGATTTGGTTATGGCGAATTCGAGCAACCATTCCCCGTGTCCGATTCTTGACTTTACTGTTGTGGTGACTGAGAATTTCATTTTTGCACGTGCATCTGCAATGCCACAGATGTCATATTGTTGCCGAACACGGGTCAGTTGGAGCCGCTTTGCCAATTCTTCGGTGATGAAGTTGATCTCCGATCCGGAGTCGAGGAGAGCTCGTGCGTGTTGATAGGACCCACAATTGTCTTTGATAAGAACCACTGCAGTTGGAATGAGAGCACGTTTGGACTGTCTGGCTAGAAGGGACACTGCGTGCGTTGTGCAGTGATCCGCTTGAGAAATGTCATCCATTGGCTGTGATGCTGTGATGACCTGTGTGTATCGGTGCAAACAAGTGTGGTGCAGTCCGCGGCATACGCGGCATTTAAATTTGGAAATGCACTTGCCTGCCATGTGCCCCTTTCCGAGGCAATTTATGCACAAGGATAGTTGCTTTGCGATGTTGAACCGCTCATCCACGGTGAGTGCAGCAAACGATGGACATTTACCGATGTTGTGATCCGTTGATTTGCATTTTAGACAGGTGTTCTGGGCGGCGACAAATGCCTTACGTAGGTTGCCGTGGCGTTTGTCGGTTGGTTTCTCCTGGCGCTTCTCTAGCAGCCGCTCCTTATTGATGCAGGGCGCGCTGCAGTCCAGGAATTCGCTGTGTCGGCTTAGCGTTTTATAACAGTTGTCCCAGGATGGCAACGTGTCATAATCTTGAGATCGATTGTAGGCCTGACGAGCATCTGCATCCACCTTCAGGAGAACGTTGTGGATTAGAATTGCGTTGAGAATATCAGTTTCTGAGCCGAGTGATAGCAATGACCCGCGCAGTGCAGAAACGGTGTCCAAGATACCACGCAGTGAATTTGCGTCTGCGGGTTCCATGATGGGTAGGGCGCACAAGCTAGATATGTGCTCCAGAAAGATGAGTACCTTCTTGTCGTATCGCTCCTTGAGGCGATTCATGGCTTTGGGATAATTGTCTTCCGAAACTTGAAAAGACGACACAACACTCAAGGCGGTGTCGGACAAGCAACTAAGGAGATAATTGAACTTGTCGACTGGGTTAATTGTGACGTCATCGTCCACCAAGTGCGTAAATGCAGTCATAAATCGGCTGTACTCGCTGTATTTTCCATCGAATTTGGGCAATTTTAATGAAGGCAATCGAGTGTGATGTGACTGGGAAGAAGTAGAATTTAGAAAACTGTTGTCGTCTATTCTTTCGCGTTTAAGTTTGGAGGAGCTGCTGAGAATGGCTGCCTTGGTTGAGATGAAAAACTCATCGAGGATCTCTCTCTCTTTGTTTTCTGGGTCTAGACGCTCAATGTTGGATTGAATTTGAGACGCTTGCCTGAAATGAGCGTCTAGCACCTGCGCTCGGCAATCCAATTCTGCGGCAGTCATCCGATTATCAGCTTCCACATGGTTCTTGAGGTTCTTCATGGCCAGAAGTAGGCTGCTCTTTTCTTGTAAAAGAGTAGCTAAACGTTCTTCCGGCTTGGCCATCTTATTGCGTCGTAATTATTTTCCAAGTACCGCTTTCCACTAGTGATGTGTTTCCAAAAGCCCTTGCTGAGTGTGACCGTTTGTTGGAAGTATCGATAAGTCAGTACTTGGAATTCCACTTTCCAGTGAACAGTGTTGCCAGAAGAAGAATGTAGATCAAAAGAGAGAACCAAATGATTAGGTTCCACTACGAATGTGTGGGTTATGAGACGGTTACATAACTGTGGTTATGTAATCGATGCGACGATGCTCCAATTTTAGTTCCTTTTGGTTAATGATTCTGCCGCTCGGACAGATCGAAATGGTGCGAGGAGGAACACGAAATTGGTGGCACTATGATTTGATTACTTTCGGCGATGACGATTATATTGTCACGAAGAAATGTCACGAATTAGGTACCGGGTAGTAGATGCGCGACCGATATCTCGCCACAAACGCTGTGTGTTGATCCGACTGATCAAATCTACGGTTGACCTTTTCCAAACGAGTTCGCCGAAGTATGCGAATTGAACTTGAAATTGAACTTGATACAGAACGTGAGTCCTGTCACGGTCGCCAAAATGTACGTTCCCTAGCGAATCTAGGGTGAAACCAAAACGCGTGCAGTTAGTTTGCTGGTCTGATTTCAAGTCGTTTATTGATCGGGAAGCCCTCAACTTCGGGCCGAAGGTTAAGGTCTCCAAATTCTACAAATTAAGATATACATGTTGCGAATCGGTAATGTTTACAATAGGTACATGTTGCGAATAGGTAATGTTAACAAGAATGTTGGTAGAGTAAATAGTATAGGAATAGGTTCCAAGCAAAGAAATAATTTCATACAATAAAATTCATTAAACTCGAATATAATACAAGGTCCAAACACAGTTAATACGCGTTGTATTAAAAGTATACTACAGCTAGTATCAAACTGTCAGTATTAATTTAAAACTAAATAATGTAAGGAGCAGACTCAATAGTGTTAAGTTAAGACTAAATAGTGTTAAGTTTATGTCCTGAGTTTAATTTCTATACCGAAGTTTTCGGTTTTCGTTCCTGGTGTGAAGCCAGGATGCTCTGGTTTGGAACCTGGACATTTCGAACAGAAAAAGTGTTACCGCTTTTTAATGCTATTCGGACGCGTTAGTATTTTAAGGGTTTTACATTAGTGTATTTTGTAAACGACGCTGCGGTCTGTTTAAGGTTTGTTTGTGAAAATTACTGTGAAAATTTTAATATTTGCTTATTTTGGGCTTATTTGAAATGTAAGTACATTTAAATTGTGTCTTAGTCCATAACTAATGAGTAAATTCTTTTCTTTTTACTGACACCACCTTGAATTGCGCTCCAGATGCCGGGAAACTAAGGATCTTGCTATTGGCTTGCATTTTTTCTGACCGCGGCCAGCGCAATGTTTACTTCAATATCAGCGTCCCCGACCAAACTCCGGTGTTCATCTGGACGGCGACCACTCTGGAGATGATCAGCGACATAAGCGGTAAAACTGCATTTGCCCAAATATGCATACACACGTACATATTTTGTACATGTATTGTATTTATGTTTATTTGTTAAATTAAAAATTACCTTCAGTAATTTATAAAAATGTAAAAAATATTTTTAATAATATATGAAAAGTACAGAACAACATTTTTTGAATTTTGTCTCTTTTATACGGGGTATAATATTTATACTGGCATTATACTAAATAGTATACAAAATAAACTAGCACCCTAAATTTCAGTACACTGAGTGAGTATAAACTGTACACTCGTTAGTTTAAACTTGACAACTTCGAAAGTTTCATTTTTATACTTTCGAAGTCCATTAGTTTAATACTCAGAGTATCGAGAAATTTTTGACACTCAATAGTTTACTTTTAATGTAGAAATAGTTTAGTTTCTATGATCATTTTTTTTTGGGTGTAGCTTTGCCTATTTTCAATATTGCGGCCTGCTTTTTCTTGGTAAATTTATTAGTTGACCTAGTTTTTGGTATTTTTAACATCTTCTTCCAGAGGCATATTTCTGTTCTGTTCTCCCCTGACCATTTCCGGAGTCACGTCGACACTTCTCCGTATTTATGCGCCCGATGCGTCGCCATAAAGTTGCCGTGCTGCGTTATAAATACACGTCTTAAAGTTATTTCTCCGGTCCCTCGCTCTTCCGTTCGGCACCTCTTAATCCTCTTTTCTCCGACTCTGTTTATCCATCGCTTTTTGGCCATTTCTCTTGGCCTCCGCTTGGTCGCATCTTGTGGGCCAACCTGGTCGCAGGAAATGCATTTTAAATGTCGGCGGCGGCATAAATAAACCGTTAATGTTAACATGGAGGGCAGGGAAATAGGAGGGTTACATGGACATGGGTGGGTGAGGGGGGATGCGTTCAGAGTTAATTTATGAGCCGCGGCAACAAGGACAAACGAGGAATTTCATTCGATTTCGCATTTCCATTCCGTTCCATTCGATTCGATTCGATTTTGGGGAAAATTCCTACTCGCCCTCTTGCTGGGGAAAAGTTTGACAGCCACTTGGCACCTTCGGAACTTTTTTCTAGCCCAGCCCACCATTCCGGATCCGGATCCCGTTTTTGTGCTCCTGCTACTGCTACTCCAAACTGTCCCCAGTTCCCCGGCTGCTTTCGCATTCACACAAAGTTCAGTAGTTGGCCAAAAGTCACTTGGCATGCATATAAATTGTCAGCCATTAAATTTGCATTGACATTTTGGCCGTGTTTTTTAACCCACCGCCGCCCAGCGCAGGCATCCAGATCCCCCCCGCCTCTGTCCCCCCTTCAGAACCCCTTCCATTTCCCAACCCCCCACTGGATTTAGCCGGGTGATTTATCTATGCACTCTTTGATTGCATGGAGCTGCGAGCATTGGGGGCAAATTCTCGACGACTCGACGAGTTTTGTTTGCCATGTTTTGGTGCTTGTTTTTATTGAATTTCCTGAATTAATTTGCCAACATCAGGCTGCCTGCATATATACGAAAAAACTAAACAAAAAGTGCCTTGTGGCTACGATGCGACAAATGCCCTTACTGTTGCATAGGAAATCGTGAAGTAATCAACATTTTCGCATAAGTAATTTAAGAGCAATATTTCGTTACATTTTGCAGTAAGATTAAAAAACATGTTCATATTGTTTTAGGATTGTTTTGATTATAGTCAACTTTTAAAATTCAAGAATAATTTTTTTGTTTCATTTACATTGTAAACTCAGAATAGGTAAAATATTAAAAAATTGTTTGTAATTTTAAAAAAATATTTATCAATTAATATTATAATTAAATTAAATTATATTTTGATAATAAACAAACACTCATATTATTTTATAGCTTATATTATTAATGGTAATATTCATGGGACTTATAAAATAATATTTTGTAAATATATAAATATTTATAGTTTATTTCTAGTCATTTTATAAATTCAAGACATATTGGAACGACCTCAGAAAGTGTATCAAAAACTATAGGATTTACGGGGAACGTTAGAAAAAAAACCAAGGGAGCGAGAAAAAAGTCTGTGGAACGTTGATTAAACTTGGCTTGGCATTGACATGAGTCGAGGAGCTGCATCCACTCCATAGATTCAATCCGGATCCGGATATCTTTTCAGGTTGGTCCAGCAATTAGCCTAATACCCAAGGACCTGGTGGCTTTCTCGCTTGGCTTTTAGCCATATTGAGTCGACCAGCAGTCGTTTCCCCATGTGTCCCAATCATAATCAAAAAAGGTTTACCCCCAGCCACCACCACTATTTATTTTTTCTTCGGGATTTATGTAATCACATCGGAAAGGAGGTTGGTCAAGAGGCATTGACTAAAGGCTTAATTGTGACTCTATGTGTGTGTGGGTCTGCCATGAAAAGAAATCTCGAAATCTTTTCCAGGTAATCATTACTTTTGCCAGGACATTTCTTAGTAATTCATTCGATTTGGGGCAAAAACTTCTGCCCTAATTTAACGGACGGTTTTTGTCGAGAGTTCTTGAATAAAAGAAAATATTATCGATGGTGTGAAGATGAGAAATGTTGTCTAAGTTAAAGACATTTTCGGAGATGGCCATAACATTTCTTGTCTTTAATAGTGCTTTGAATATTGTATTGTATTGTATTTTGTATTGTATTTTATTAAGCAATGGACTGCTTGTAAAACATTTATAATATTTTGTATTTAAGAACTAGAAACGCCAAACCACATAAGGGGAATTTTTTAGCGATATGCCCCTGCTCACATCGAGTGGTAGGCACGTTGAATTACATATTTGAGGACAATAACAATAATAACTTATTATAATTAGACACTGAAGAGACTCCATACAACAAGACGTGACTGAGATCATTATATTTTTCACAAAGAACACGGAAAGGGTCATTAAGGGCAAAATTTGTCCTGCAAAATGGCAGAGACAAAGGCCGATACCGGCGAATTGTCCTGCATGGCACATTCCAGTTTAGGGAACTAAGGAGAAAGGAGGAGTCGACATCACCATTTATTAACTTGTGTATAAACATAACACCGTGACAAATCCTACGGTTGATCAGGGTGGGCATGTCTAGTAAACGCAATCTGGCATTATAGGATGGCAACCGACGGCCAGCTTTAGATTTCTTGCGAATGACGTTGCTCTGCCATTTACATCTGCATTTAATTTTTCGTGTGAATTAAATTTCCTTCGCTTCACTTCGTTTTTCGATTTTCATCCACCTTGTTACCTCAAATACTGACAGGTGCCTGGGGTCAACTAGCCGAAGGTGAAAGCATTCCCGTTAAACGTTATTTACCTGCAAGCGCTTTCAAATGTTTTGCAGCAAAGCCGCAGCCCTTGTCGCCCTTCTCCAGCTCCCTGAAGACGTTTAAGGGTGGAGTCTTTAGTTCGCCACGTTTATTTATTGCAACGTTTTTGACAAGCTTTAAAATATCCCCGCTAAACTTTGATCGCACTGGCGATGTGGAAAATCTGAAAATTCCCAATGGAACAGCTTCTTGTGCAGTGAGAGTAAAATTTTAGAAAAA